AGACAATTCATCTGATTTTTGCTATTACAAGCCCTGGTCTTAAACCCATCAAGCCCTGACTAGCATTGATCTCAGCATGAGTTCTGGGTTTGGAGGGCTGGCAAATCACACTAGTAGTTACTCTAGCAACCAATATCATGTTGTAGCAGATTTCAGGACCTAACCTCCAGTAACTATAGCAATGAGTGTCATGCTCACTTCTGTGACCTGAAGAGCTGGGTAATGATAAAGGAGACCCTACCCTGAAGTTAATGTCATGAGAGTGAGCCATTATAATGCACTGTCCCTGGAGCGTGTTCCTCCAGGTCACTGAGAGCTCTTTTCCAAAAAGGGCAGGAAGGAGAATAATGAAATATCATTTCCCAGAAGACTTGAACAAAGAAAGCACCAAAATACTCTGTTTATCTCTGTTGTGGTATGTCTGTCTGTGAGGTTTTTAATTAAGCAAGATATGAATAATTTCTAGCAGCAATGACACTTTTGCCAGTTAGTCACTTGGACTCTGTAGGTAATGCCTCTGGACAGACTGACTTTATCCTCTTCTTCCGATTTGTATTTTATGGGAGAGAAGAAGAGGTTGGAGCACTCCTAAGTCTTATATCCCACAGTGATCCCGAACAAGGGGCTCATTTTGTACTGCTTCTAGGAACTTTTTTTTTTTTTTTTTTGTCTCACAGGAAACAGAATGATCCTCATTTATGTCTGTATGAACAGGAATGAGAGAGGTTTCCAAGCATTAATAGTGCATAAGTAGTCCTCAGAATGAGTGAAGAACAGTATTCTCTAATACTTCGGTTTAATCAAAAAATCAACATGGAAGCATCTATATGATAGAAAAACAAATCTGTTGTTGTTTAGCAACAAGCAATGGATGCTGTACTGTACGTCTTTAAGAGAAACAGTTACTCCAGTGCAAAAGAACAATTCTGGGCCTATGTCAGATTCTCCGTCAGATAAAGGATAACGTTAGAAATAATTTATTCTCAAGCACTGAATTTTAGCTTAAGTATAAACATCTGACAGTGTCTTGAAACAAACCAAGTGGAAGAAGTTCAGTAAAACTGGGGCTTTGCTTGATGTTTTGTTAGGTTCCCTCGTACCTGTCCAGTCTGTCTGCGCTTTCTCCTCAGAGGGGCAGCGGCAGCTTTTCTTCCAGTGTGCCTGCGCTTTCTCCTGGGGGGGACAACTGTGCCACTTGTGCCAAACAAGATGATCCCAGACTCATTCTTGGTGCTGAAGGAGAGGTTGATCTCTGTGCCCATGTCAAAGGAGACAGGCGGCAGTTCCACAAAACCTGGTTTGGGGAAGCTAACCGTGTAAATGTTCTATAGGAAGAAGAGGACAGGAAAGCGCTTTAATAGGATTAAAAGCACGAGTATGAACACGCCAAAAGATTTCCTAACTAAGATAACAAACTACGTAAACATAACCAGTGTGAAGAGATGGAAAGTAATACTAAACACTAAGCAATTTACTTCTCAAAGTGTTGTGCAAACACTAATTTACCTGTTTACATCTGACATCATTAGAGTATTTCTGGAATTCTGTCTTACAGGAAGGCAAAGTTCCAGTCTTATTTCGGTATATCCTTTTGGATTAAAAACAACTGCTCACAGGTGTTTTATTATATGAATGTTTTCCATTGAGTTAATACAGTGGGATTTTGCTTTTAAGTTAATATAATAGATAACCGCAGCCAATATTAACATAAACTAAATTATATTATTTGTCAGATGTGCCCAGAAAATACTTTCCATTAATCTGTCATTACTGTTTCATCATTATTGCTTCACTAAGCACCACTGCTTTCTTGATGACTCAGGCTCATAAACGAAGCACTCGTTGCGTGTGGCCCAACTCTTTGGACACTGGTAGCCATTAACACAATTTAAAGTGCAGAATATGTCATCAAATAATAACTCAGTGCATAGTCCTGAAGATTTTCTGTAATCACTGCCAATTCTTTTACTCTTCCAGCTGGGGAAGACCACTCTATAGAAACAGTGACTTTTTCTAAAATAACTCATGATTTTTCCGTATGGTGGCACTGATTTTAAGTATAGAGATAATAGACTATGCTAGATAAAATAATTGGTGATGATGTTCACATTTTGCCGAAATCTGAGGACATTTAAATAATTGACCGTATATCCAGCCTGTATCTTCTGCTTTTACTTCACTTCTTTTTCATTATCCTACGTATCCTGTTTTGTACAATTAGGATATTTTATTTAATTCCCCAACAAAATGGTTAATCCAATTAGATTCCAAATTCTGAAACCTCAAGTGTTACAAAATAACATGAAAAACAAATTTCTTTCTAAGATTCATAGCAACAGAAGAAAATCAACACAATTATCCTGCTTTCCTGTTCAGGAAAGATTCTGCAATAAATGCAAACAAATATGAACTGCTGTAGAAAATTTTTGCTGAACCCAGATTTGTAAGATTTAAAAGCGTTTGAGCAATATGGGTGTTTACAGTTTAGCTTTGTCACAAACCTGAGAACTTAAAAATGGCCATCACATGACAGATCCATCTAGTCTAGTATCCTGAGACTCCTATTGATGTGTGCTTTTTGCTCTGATGAAGGCCAGAGACAGAAGTGATAAACACAGCAACAGAGGGTACTCATCTTTATTTTGGCCAGGTTACTGTTCAAAGGAAATTTTCTGTATTTTGGAGAAAAATGTTTGGAAAGCATTTGTTCAACAGCTCCTTTGAATTTGCTGTAGTGGTATTTGATATGGAACTGTAGATCATACATCTGCTTGCAAAACTATCTTAAATAGCATACATGTCCAGGGAAGAAATACAAACGATTTATTGGGAGACAAATGTAAATGGAAATATTTTTTTACATAAGACTCTTCTTTTCCATGGACAATTACTACATTCCCTCTCAAACTTAGGATCAGATTCTTTGAATTTTGTATGCATTGGAAGCCTGTAAATTAGAAGCAGCAGCAACTGAAAATAAATAGACTTAAGTTGTACTTAAAGTTAAAGTGATGACGCCAATTTTGCTCATTCTTAGTGGTCAGTAAGACCACTAAGCTTCCAGCTCAGTGGTAGTGCGTAACAGTAAGTGCTCTACAGTTCCTATCCTAAAGGTGACTTTTTTTCAATTGCACCCAAATATACTGTGATTTTCAAAGTATCTCAGGTTTTCTGTAGTGAATGATCTTATAATAACAGGGGTTTTTTTTAAAGAAAATTCTTTAAATCCTTGGATTTTATGTGCATCAAAATTTTTTAAGGTTTTTGCAATATTGTCACTGCCTAATTCTATCCTCATGAATGTCAGTAATTCCCATTTTAGTCAGCTGAAACGGAACTAGACCACTGCTAAGCATTTCAGAAATCCTACCCGTTAGTAATAGGGATATCTCAACTGTCCAGGGATACTGTCCAAGAAGTTAGGATGTGGAAAACTGGTCTACTTGCTGATCAGACTCATTCATCTTTCTTTCTTTTAAATATAACCGTTCTGATTTTCAGGTTAGAGCCCTATGTGTGTCTGACTATGCCTTATACAATTAATATGTTATGCCATAAAAATCAGAAACCAGAAAACATTTATACCCATTAAGACCAAAATGGGTGGAAATCAGACTAACCTCTAGTGTGCATCCTTTGGTTAGACCAACAAAATCAGGACTACTCAATATATTATACGGTGTCCTTGAAATTTCAATCTCTTTGAGGCAACCTGTATATTTCTTTAAGTTCACTTCAGGCCTGAAAAAAGTTTAGAAGTACAATGTATTTTCAAAAACAGAGTTTAGGGAGAACAAAGTCAGCCAGACACACACACATGCAGGCACACAGATGCTTGATTTTTGGGTTTTTTTATAAATACATACACTCAAATGAATACATCTTGCCTTCTACCACCTATCAGCCCATATTGCACTCTGCCTTCCATCACTCAAAGGTGTAACAGGAGATTCATCTCATCTCCAATCAACAACAGTCCCCTTTTCTATTTTTTCTTTCTTTTCTTTACTCTGTTTTTGGGTAGAGGAGTGCTGCCACCTTTGGTGTTTAAATGCAGTGAGCTATGAAATGAGTAAGTAGTTGTTGCTTAGGCAAAGCAGAAAGATGCAAGCTAGGAAGTCAGAAACAATAAGGAGAGACCTTAACTGGAAGACAGATTTTTCATTCATCTTTTTTACATTTTAGTTCATAATGAAAGAGGAACTTCAGCAGCTACAAACATTTTGGATGAAGTCTTTGCCAAAGACAGAAATGTTTTTTTTTTTAATGCTTTAGGGATTCTTTATGTTCAGGTGGACTGACATTGGTTTTCTGTGTGTTTTATATTCCCAGTATCTTTCCTATGAAAATGGCTGCATATTTTCTTGTGGCACAGCAAGATATTTGACTTTTTCAGGCAGGCAAAGAAAATAAACTACTTGGGTTTGTAACAGAATCTGACTATCCATACAGCGCAGGAAATTATTTTCATAGAATTGCAAAGTTCTATGGTTTGGCTCATCAGCTGGTTGCCAGAAGAAATGAGAAAATCCCTGAAATAACACCAAAGCTAGCATGCTTGAATGCAAAAGTATGATTTCCCAGGCCTGGGAACACCAGCATGAGACCACCACTGCTGGCAACATCTGAACCAGGCTTGCAAGAAGAAAAGCCTTATAAATTCACTTCAGAATAAAAGTTGCCATTCATACCATGGAGAGTAAATCCAAAAAGCAAAAAGCACTTGTTAGTTCACTCACAATATTACGCATGAGTATTGAAAGTTTAGTACAATATCTGAATAATATGAACTTCTCAAAAAAAAAAAAAAAGAATTTGGAAAATAATTAAGAAGTTAAAACTGTGGGGAGGAAAAAACCCAAACACTTCAGCTCCCTGGAAGAAAACAAAAGATATTAAAGAATATTAATTACAAAATAACACTATTTTGCACAGGTACTGTTCAGCTGCACGTTTTGGTGCTGAAAGCCATTCTTTGCATTATAGCCATCCTAGCAAGCGCGGTGTATTCTCTGGCAAATTTACATCCCTTAAAGTAAGCATCTGGTTTACTAAAATAATCTGTATTCTGCTTTATTTACAGTCATATAACTATGGTCACCTTTCATTTTTGATTTGTTATTTCCTAGCTCTTCCCCAGTTCCTTCATAGACTCATCTTCCCAACAGCACAGGACTTTTGCCATGTCATTGTCAGCAGTGCCCATAGTCATCTTTGTCATCCAGAAACCATTCATTTTCCTACCCCCTTCCTGCCCTGTCCAGTTACAGACCACTCTTGTGCAACAGTCAGTCAGTGTTACAATTCTCAGCCCAGTTGAACTCTACATCCTTGTAAACATTTAACACTTGCTTGATGTTTTCCTAAGACTTAAACATACAGAACAAGGTCCAAGTTCATTCAGATCTTGCATAAATACTTGTGGGTTTTGTTTGGTTTTTTTTTTGTTTTTTTTTTTCCTAAACTAGGATAAATTTCAGGGGAACACAAGAAAAGATTTCTGGAGCTTGGGAGAAAATAATGTTTCTCAGGATTGGGGAGGATGAAGCTTCATTTTTGTAATTCCCTCCAGGAATTAAGCTGGAGAACAGTGGAGGTCAGTCAAAGCAAAAGCAATGGACACAGTTGCAAACTGGAAATGGTCAGAAATAGGTCACCTCTCCTATCCCCCTGTTCTTAAACTCAGATGTGGCAAATGGCACAAAAATCTGCACCTAGCTTTTATACCCTCCTCAGTAGCTACTTCACTGCCTCGGAGTGCAGCGCCTGTTGCCCGACCCAGGACTACATCGCTCTTACAGCCTGGAGGTCGGAACCAGGCTCAGCAACACAGCTTGCCGTAGCTCTGCTTCCGAGGCAGTCCAGAGTCACAAACACACACAGCTGTGTGAAGAAAACAAAAGTGGTTGACGTGTGCACAGCATGTAACATGACAGTGTTAAGCACTTGGGAGCAGCTTTGCTTGCTGCAGCAGGAGTGACTCGCTGAATTAACAGCCTTAGCGTAACAGCTGCTACAGATACTGCCCGCACGCTGCTTCTGCGTTGCCGCCTGTGCTTTCAAGCTGCACTTACTAGACACATGCAAGTCATGCAAGTAATCTGATTATTTTTACCTTGCTTTCATACTAGGGTGAGAGAGAAAGACAAAAAGAAAATAATCAAAATTACATTAATTGTATCAAATTATACTTATCAGCAAGGTCCAGATATTTCACAGTGAAGCAGATACACATCATTCACAAACAACACATTAGGGATGGTGAGATTCCATATACGCTATCAGGCTACAATAATTAACAGGGTTACTCTGCAAACATCTACCTTAAAATGTAACATATCAGAGAGCTTTTACAATTTGATGCTATATTTGGTTGGGAGTAAAAGCAAACCATGTAAAAGAATTTGGCAGAAGTGACACGACCTGCTAATTACAAAGTCACGGGTATCTCAGTGTCTATTGTTTGCAGCTCAGCTTTGCTCCAATCCCCCTTTCACTATTTTTGACTCTAATTTACCATAACACTCATCTTTCCCCAGCGACTGGTGAATCATAGCTGTAGGCAGAATGGTTACCACAGGTCCAAATAGCTGTGGTACACTGATTTTCTGAGCAACCACAAAGGATTTGCTGGAAGATAATTGCTCTAGACATTTTGTTAGGCACTGGTGCGATTTCACAATTACATAACATAGTGTTATATTTCATGAGTAAAACAGATCTTAGATCTTTTTATTGCTGGGTGGTTTGACATCAGAGGTCAGTTATTAACCTAATAAATTAACAAATACTTCCATTCTTTTAGCTGCAGAACAGCCTGTGGACTAAGCACAACAGTTCCTTGTGCACAAGACCACTTCAAGGTTGTCATCATGCTATGTAGCTAAAGCTGACGTAGATTAATGGGCTCGTTTCTGTGTTGCTCATCTGTTCATTGTAGCACAGAATTATCTTGTTCTTGTCATTGCAAAACTGCTGAATATTTATTTAAACTTTAATTTTTTTTGTTCATTTAAAAATGTGTAATACAGTCACTAAATTCAAGTATCTGTTATCCCATTTCTTTAGTTTATTACAGCTTGAGTTAAAGTTTGTCAATAATATTACGTAATATTTTAAAAATAAATACTGGAATTTTATTTGTGTAAGAAATCCAGGATCAGGTTTCTGAAGGGAAAAGGTTGCCATATTTCATTCTGCATGCATTAAATATATCCAGAATATTGTATCATGTACTTTAATTCCTGAATACAGGAGGAAATTAATCTAAGGAGTCCAGGAACCTAAGTCTGGAAAGAATTTTAAATGATATCTAAACACAATATTTTTATACCTATTGAAAGTATACTGACCCTGATTATGCAAAAATATGCATACCATCAAACAGTAATCCCATAAGGAATAGTTTGTAGTTCAGTTTTTCTACTCATGCACATAGTAAACTCTTGTGCTTAATTTTGTGAAGGCATGGAGCCATTTCTGTAAGTTTGAAGTCACAAATTCTATTCATCAGATAAAAAAATACTTAAAAAGTCAGCTACATCTTGGTTCCTGCACAGCATCAGAGAGATGTACTGCATGGCTATTTCCACTGTATTTGTGTAATGTGAGCTGTGTGAAATACATTGAAATACATAACATATGCAAATAAAGCATTGGTCTGCTGTGGCAATATTGGGTGTGTTGGGAACTCACCATTCACTTAGTGCCAGTGAACTGGAGAAGGATACAGAGAATAAGATTACACTTCATTTACATCCCCTTACCAAAGCTAAAAAAATTGGTTTGAGCCACATTACCTTAGATTTCTCAGGGTTGGCAATCCCCCAAAATATATTTTCTCATGCCCTTTCAAGTTGAGCCCAAAGTGGCTGCCTGTAGAAGTTGTTGCTAGGGTCTCTTCTTCATTGGTGTCTATGTCTACAATTGATATGTTTGCTAGAAGAGATTTGACATTAGTTGCAAAATATCAGGCATGAACAATGATGTCTTAATGTAAGAAACCAATAGAGAAATATATGGAGGGTTAGGAGGTGAGCGGAGAGGTAAGGAGGGTTGTATTTTGCAATTAAGACACTGGATTTCCAAATTGTCAGTTATGGACAGGGGAAGAGACCTGCACGTTCCTCTGTTTCCATAACAACCTGAAAAGCTATAGCAATTCTGTATGCGTTATTTTTATACATCCTCTAAACCTGTTTCAATTTGGTATGTTCTTTTTGTCAATGTAATTTGGAGCTAACACTTAAGGACAAATTCAAGACAGAAGAGATCATTTTACATTTGATTTGTGATTTCAGTCCAAAGCTTGACACTTGAGCAGGATTTTTTAGTGTACAAGTTTGTTAAGCATTGTCATTATGTGCCTTAGAGGTTGGTGATCATTCACTCTAAAGCATTTTCAAACCCAAAGCAGTCAGTTGCTGTCACATCTAATCTCAGTCCAGAGTCAGTGATGCACTACATCCAACCATCCTGTTTAAATGCTTGTTCCATGTGTATCTTTAATGTATACATTAATACAGAATATGAAGTTCAACGAGAGTCAAGACAGTGAAAAATGCTGAGCAGCCCCCAAGGAAGAAAGAGATATTCTACCATAGGGATGCAAAGAAATGGTTCTTTCTTCCTTCCTTCCTGCCTTCCTTCCTTCCTTTTTTCTTTTTCTTCAGACAGATAAATGCAAGTGATGATTGCTTATAATCTATACCCCCTCCCCCAAATCTACATACCTAAGGAATGAAATGAACCTTTATTTTAACTAAAAAAAGTGACAGCCTGATTTCTGGTTAAAGGTGGAATAGAGTGAGTCTGGAGATAAGAGACCTGTTAACATCTTAGGAGACCGCAAAGGGAAGGCTGGCTAGAAGAAGTAATGTATAATCCATGGAGAGGAAGGAGCAATGGGAGAAGAGTCTTTTCTCATGGAAGCTCTCCCCATGGGTGAGTCTCTTGTAGCAGCAGCCGACCAAATAAATGCCTTGAAAGAGAGAAGGAATGTGTAAAACCTGAAAGGAAACTACTGTTTTCAGGAGTGAAAGAGAAGTGAATGGGAGATAGACTTTCCTGCTGTACCTTACTGTAAACAGATAAATTTTATTTTCATTTCTGTACCTGTATCTTCTTTATAAACACATGATATGTTTGAATGATATAATAAATCACAATTATGTGACATTGTATTTTATCTTAATAACTCCTAAGTTAAGTATGAACTAAGATAACTGGCTAGCAAGAAGGCATTCCTCCTCTAAAGGTGCAATAAATCTGCAGGTGAGAGCTGTGAGTTATTTTGGCCAGTGTCTGCTTCAGCCAGATAAGAGGGTGGCTCTGTGTTGGAGATGTGAAGGCCAGGTAGAGAGCTGGCACTGCAGGGGGCAAGAGGAGGATGCGTGGGTTAGGGGCTCGCAGTGGCCCTGAAGATGCAGAATGCAGTAAGACTTCAGGATACAAAGGCACAGAGACTGTCACAGATGCCATAAATAAAATTAATTTGGCTCAGGTAAGATTTTACCAGTGCTATAACTGGATTAAAAACAAGCAGAAAAAAAGGGGGTTTCCAGCATGATAGCCAGTGCTCTTTGCGATCTTATCAAATGCCATCACTTCATGTTTTGCACCAGTAACAGGTTCAACAATTAGCACTTTTGAAGATGTTCCCAGTTGTTTCCATGCAGGTTCACGTCATGGCACACTTCACATCATTAGGGAATATAAAACAGTTGTTGTGTTTGTCTGCTGAGATGCTGTACCATTAGTACTGAAGTCATTGCTTTTTTAAGCGCTTTGGGATATGCTGAGCATGAGAACTATACAGCATGAAAACTATTGCTGTCCTAACAAAAATCACACAGGTTTGTTTTATATTTTTGAACAACATCAAGGAACTGATGAAAAAGCTTCTTTTTTCCCTGCTCAGAAGCATTTTAGAATGTAATTTAGGCAACTGCAAAGCAGAACTGTGCCTGAAAATTAAGCTACCTGTTCATAAAAGGCCTGTTTGACAGTGCAATCACTCACATGAAACTCAACACAGGTGTAATCTAAGCAAAGGATGTTGCCAAATCACTAGAACTTTATAATTCTAGTAATTTTGCACACCACCTTCCGCATGATTAGGTGGCTAGCTGTGCTGCACAGGTAGTTGGGAAAGCATGGCGTTGACACCACAGGAACTCACCTTGCTTTTGAATTCTTGACAGGGTGAAAGATTTCCATTTGCCATCATTATGATTTTGGTTGCTGATGACAGAAGCTGTACCTGAACCCAGATCATAGCTGACTTTTATACGCCCACCACTGAGTTCTACACTCATGAAATCCTTCTGTTAATGAAAAGGATTAGATACACAAATTATGGTTCTTGTTCATTTTGGTAAGAGGCATATGACATTAAATAAACACTTTCTTTTCCTGGGTGAGAGCAGACAACTTTTTTCAAGCTCTAAAAAAAAAAATCTACTTAGGCATTTACTGCCAAGGACTGTAATGTACAAAAGTCTGCTGCCCACAAATTCTTTCCTCCCCTTTTCTTCTCCTTTGGATTGCTAACTTGGAATTTTGTTAACAACTTAGCTGGACTTTTGATGGGGTGTCAGTACTTTTATTTTCTTAGATTGAAGGCAGAAATGCACATTATAATTACCTGAAACTAAGACTCAGCTTAGAGTATATGTCTGTACTACAGTCAGTGCATTTACCACACACCTCAGCTAGATTTAAACTTGCAAGGTAGATAACAGGAATAGTAAAGATGGTGAAACAGGCTTGTTTTACTAGGGTTTCCAGAGAGCAATCTCTACTGATGGAGCAACAGGGAGCTATGAACTGTTGTTCTCATCAACCACTGACACCAATATCTAAGCAGTAACTGGAGATGGCTAATTGGAGCAATGGTACACGCTGGAATATCTACAGAAAAAGAGTTGGCAGGACACAAAGGGCAAAACAAATAGCCAGGGAACTGGATAGCGTGAAAGGCGTTAAGTAAGTAATGGTGGAACTATGACCCAGGACTTGAATGTACCACAGAAATTTTAAGTTTCATTATCATTTTGCTCATGGCGAGTTCCACCTGTGCTCAGCCCTTGGGAGAATGAAAATACTTTACCATGTGCTGAATACTTATGCAAAACTGTGACAGTAATGTTACGCATATGAACATCAAGTTAAGTTAACCAGCAAAGAGTAAAATTGAACAGACTCAGTATTCTAGACGCTTATGCATGTCTATCCATGCATCACTAGAAAGAGCATCCTCAAAGTTTTTGTACAGTGGGACAATATCTTAAGAGACAAATTGTATCAGGGACCAGTTGCCTTCCAGCTCCCAGTGCTTTTCAGAGGTTCAAGTAAATATTTATTTCTAGAAAATGACATAAACTAATAATAATTATAATAATTATCCTCTAAAATAATTACATTAATTATACTTTCAATATTCAATTATAAAAATTAATTAGAAAACCTACGTAAGTACTTCATTATCATAATAAAATGTTATCTTCTGCTATAGTCAGTCAGAAGAAGCACCCTCATCCTTGATAATTCCAGCAATTCTGATAATTTTTCCCAAAATACAGGAATATGAAATAAGACTAATTTACAGAAACACAGTTCTTGTAAAATAGTGAGTGCTCAGTAATTCTTCAAGACATCAGTGAGAACTGCAGTACATAATTTCTGGCTCATATGAAAAGGCTGAGGAAAGGACTCTGTTCCCAGTCAGGCGTGCAAATCAATCTGGATCAGGGATGCTGAAGCTGAGTTATTCCTGATTCATATGAGGATCTGGCCAGATGTCTTTACAAATAACTTCTCCCTGTTACCCACGCAGATTTGGTAGTGTATGTGAATAAAAACCTTGAACAGCTTTATAACTAATGCTTCTATTTTCTTTTTTGGCTGTAAAAGGTACCATGTGTAGACCTTGCAAAAACACCATCACATCCTGTTTGTTGTACCATTCAGTTCCCCTTTAATGCCACTCACATTAAACACCAACTTTATATCAATAGAACTTCTGTCTATGACTGGTCTGTTCCCATATTCTCCTTGCCCTCACACTATGATACTTTAAACCGTGCATCCACAACCACAACTGACAATGTTTGCACAGGTAAACATTTGGGATAAATGAAAATTAATTAATAATTTCAGAAAAGCTGGAATTCCTCTCAGTCTAAGATAATGCTCCCCAGTCATCAAACTCTGGGTAGTCAACTTCCACACTATGACATTGTCTTCACTTGGACAGCAGTGAAGCATCCTACCAGGCAACATCGTACCGGGACAGTGCTATGTTAAATTACTATTTGTTTTCATAATATGATGAATTCACCCACTGCAAAGATAGCATGAAACCTGTAAGAAGCATGGAGGCTAGCTGGTCATTCTTACCAAGTCATCAGTAGCAAGATACATCAGCAGGGCGTTCGATGAGAAGGTCCTGAATTTGAACATGACTGTGGAAATATTGGGGTTCCAGCGGATTGGGCGGCTCACCATGGCATAGCTGTCGCCATCGAACTGGACCGTCCCTTCTCCATCTGCCACCTGTGGGCTGAAAAGGGGCAATTCCAACCATTTTGCTTTGCCGTGTAAGGTTAAAAGAAAAAGAAGTGGGGGGCTAGGAGAGTGAGGGGACACCGCTTGGGAGTCTTCCTGAACTCGGTTTGATTTCATATCAATTCTCTGTGCTGACAAGTGAAGCCAGAAGGTCAGCTCACCGGCTGTCCAACTCAAAAGCACATCTGAGAGGAAGATGGAAGAGGAACATGTCACATATATCTCATGGTCTGTAATGACTCATCATGCAATCCTCAAGGTAAAATAGCATCTTGTAATAAATCTTGGTTTTGTTAGTGTTAGGGATTTCACAACTTCTGGAGGGTCCCAGACTGAAAACCCTGGAAACTGCGATTCTCTCTTTACCCACAAATTACAAACATGGCAAGAGCAGAAGCATCAGTCCCTCCACAGATTTTGGCATCCCTGTCATTACAAAACAGAAAAGATCAGGCATTGAGTTTGTCTGATATGATTTTTATGATGGACTGTTTGTCCATTTCTCTCACGTGGATCAAGCATCTGCAAGACAGCAATTTTTTGGTTTAATCACAACTGTCATTGAATTTGAACAAGGGACCTTCATGTGAAATATTGGCCAGGCACATGTTTCCCATTTATCCTTGCACACATAAAAGCATCTTCAATGTAGTCCTCTCACCTTCCATAGCTACATTTAACGGTTAAGTTTTTGCAGTTAGATTTTGCAGGAGAACAGGACTCCTGGTACTGGAACAATGGGTTAAAATAAAAGGGAGCTTTTAACACAGTTTTCTGCAAATCTCAAATCCAGCATTCATTTTTTCAGTCTCCCTCTCACCTACCTCTACTCCAAGCAAGCAGATCTACACTATCACTAATGAATGAGAAAATTAAATTTAGGCAGACACACATGAAGGTTTAGGCATTTCCATTAGGACTTTCTTGGAGATGAAATGCCTATGTCTGTTATCATGCTCCTTAAATTTCCACCTAAGTGTCAAGGGCCTACAGCTGGAGTCAAGGAAATCCTCTAGTATTTCCAAAATCGTTTCAGTTCACAACTGTTAATTTCCATCACTTTCAAAGGGCTAAGCCTTAGCTCTACACCATATACTGATAATGCCAAATTCACTAAAAAACAGGGCATCTAACACAACTGTGCTGCTTTCATGCAGTGGGTCACTGTGAAAGCCATAAACAAGGATGCGAGAGACCCAGAGTCTGTCTTCCCAGGCCTGTGCTGTAGTATCGGGTGGTGCTTCTGTGTAAGGGCCCTCAGCTTTCGAAGCTGAGACATGGCACAGCAAAGTGTTTGAGATGGGTTTGGTGAGAAAGAGGCATGAAGATCACAGCTCTCTGGGGACAGGGAGACATCTGGAAAGGAAGTAACTTACATTGTTTTAAAATTCCTGAAGAGAGTGCTGAGCCTACACATGTGAATCCTGGTCCTCCCTGGATGGGCCACTTACCCTACGTGGAACCACAGGTCACTGACTGGGACAGGATTTACCATTTTTTTTCGAGAACAGAAAGACCTTTTCCCTGTGGGGGTGTCTGCTCACTACACTGGTGGCTGTGAAAGCCACCTCGAGGCACCTGACTTTGCCCCATGCTGCGTAAGAGGCGCAGGCACCCCCACCACAGCTGTCCGTGAGCCAGACCCCGTCCCACTGTGGATCTCACCCTCTCCCATATTTTGACTCATCCCAGTTACTGGTTCGCAGGAGCCTTTCCATCACAACACTGTTACATTGTCTTAATTCTGTTAAGATACCGACCATATCTACAACCCAGATTGGCAGTTTCCCTCTTGGTGTAGTTGCAGCCTAACTTTGTATGTCGTACAACTCGCAGCATTGCAGACAGACCACAGCTGTCTACGGGAACTTGATGGCTGCCGTGGAAATTCCCGCTGCCTGCCACAGAATGCAGTGGTCACCACCAGCAAAGGAGCATGAAAGCAGTCAGTGCGTCACCTACCTGACGGCACAGCCTTTGCAGTCACCTTCGATATCCCTGAAATTCCACAGTCCTATGGGCTTGCTGTCCAGAAACGTCTCACCCATGCAGCCAGTGAAGGTGGTGACTCTTACAGCATCTGACTTCTGCAAGAGAAAACAGAAAGCTCATTAGAATTCAATTTGAAGTGATCTACTGTGTCTGAAATCAAAACTGGTATGAAAATCACGAATATCAGAAGATGCTTCATTATTTTAAATATAAATAGTAATAATTAATCTGAAAGTCCTCCTGTTAAACAACTGATCAGCAAAAATGTGAGCAAAACTTCGTATCAGTCAGGGTGGAAAAGCCCATTTATATGAGACTTTTGGGAAGACCTAGGCAGAATGATTCCCAGAGAACGAGGAGCGGCCCTGGTTTCCATGTCACCATCAGACTTCCTGACTATTTCGAGAGCTGCCTACTCCCACTTGTTCAAGGTCTATCTAGGTTTTTGTTTAAGACTTTGTAGAAAGGACTATGAAGAATCTTGCCTGAAATATAATAAGCAAAATGTTTCCACTGTAATTAATGCTCAAAAGCCTGGAAATTGAGCAGATCATCCAAGTTAAAAGACCAACTGTGAGCTCAACTGGCTACACCTGTAAAGTTCATGCTGAATTTGGATGCGTGAAAAGTGCAGATGGCAAAGCAATTAAAACTCATATCCCATCAAAACTCATTAAACTAGGGTCACGCACATGGGGTAATGCTCATTAGATCATAACGTGGTACCATGATCAAGGTAGTAATGTTTGACAGTACAGAGAGTACTCAGCTCAAAATTATCCTTCTAAAAATACCTAGTTTCATTTAAATTTCACTTCATCAATATGAGCTGATTGAAAATCTATATACTTAGCTATTTGAGATAGACAAGCACCTGCTGTTTTCCATACAGCAATTACGAATATTAAGATCTTGCAAGAGAATATGGAGAAGTGCAACTTGAAAACATTCAAGGAAAAGTATGACTCAAAAGACTTAATGTGCTGGTGATATTTTCCAGGGTAATTGGGAAGGTTTTAATTAGCAACAAGTATGAACTTAATGTCACTTCTGAGAAATTCATGACATCTAAGTATCATAGTCTTCTACTCAAGTTGGGTGAAAGATGTTTTTAAAAACTGAAAATGAACCTTCTTTTTCAATACATTGCAAATACTCATGAAAAAAGAGATGTGGACAAAATCCCAGCACAAATCTAAAGCACTCTAAAACCCAATAATATGAAAAAACAGATTTCTGAGACAAAGATTTAAAAAAATCTCAGTGACCTTGATAAATGTCCAAGGAGCTTCAAGGTTTGAGAAAAGAGTCTCAGTCAAGGTCTTCATTTTTTTGAGCCCAACAACTGTACCACATGATGACAAAAACTCCCAGGCAAGTAAAATTATAATTTATCTTGTAATTCACAGACTGTATCCAAACAGAGCAAGTCTGATAGTGTTTAAACCCCTGAACTGCAAATATACCAGCCATACCAAACTTACAGTACCCTGTCTTTCTACCTCTGCCCTTGTCTTTATTTACCTGGAGAAGAAGAAAAAAAAATTTAGGATGATTTTCCTGACTAAGATGAAAAAATGGAGAATTCTCCAGAAAATATCCGGAGAACTCTTCTGAGGTTGAAAACGGCTGTTCCAGCATCAGATTTTTGCAGCATCCATAATTCCTGTTCCTGTTCAGCTTCACACCACATGTTGAATCCTACAACTGTCTTACATGCTGACTTGTGCTCACTACCCACCTCTGCCTCATTGTACCTAACTAAAGGCAAAAAGAAAAACATTTAGGAAAGCGTTCAGATTTAAACGCCACTGTGTTCCAGGTCCTTTTGTTTACCCTGAAACATCGAGAACCCTTGAACCTTTTTCCCTCTAGAGATTCTGCTAAATCTCTTTTTCCTAAATACATGCTTCACAAAGCTTCATTGTTAAGTAATTCTTCTTGAATAAGTATTATTCAAATACTGGTAGCATTTAAGTATAAAATAAATAACCGAATAATTTATTAACATATATTTATAATTTAACTACAACTAACAAAACATGAAGTAAAATAGTACATATGATCTCTCTTTACACCTTTGCCACACTTTTTCTACCATCAAACTGTAATACTAAGAGCTCTTTTTTAACAATAAAATATTTATAAAACTTAAAGCTAGAGATGGTATCGAGTAAACCACACATTTTTATTAGTCTAATATGACAGCTTTGCTGCAGAAATTAGGACTAGGTACAAGACTACTTTATGCCGCGGCACAGAACAGCTGTTGCTGAATTTCTGTATCATCTTTGATTCTCTGGCTTCCTAATGTAAACACCAGAATTTTTTTTTTAAGTGGGATTCAGGTGAGAGGTCTGGTCTGGGAGTTTTGGTGTTCTAGAGCTATGCAAATATAAATGGTATTACTATGTTTCAGTACTTGCTCCACTTGTCTTCCGATAACTCAAAAGTGAAACCCAAAATAAAATGAAAATAAGGTTTGCGTTTAGGCTGGCATTTCAGGTTGAAGCTTAACGACTCCTTTGCAGGATCACCCAAAGAAAACAAGACAAAAACCTCCTGACCATGCATTTCTAGGGTCTCAACTGAGTCAGAGAAATTTAAATATTGAGTAAACCAGACTCTCAAGTGATTTCTAAATGCCTATCTATGAAATGATTTGTCTAATCATAATTCTGGCACTTATGATTGTTACCTGAGCCCGTCTGTCTTCCCGAGCCTGCAGTCAGACTCTAAGAGTTGTGCGTTTTAGTGAGGTGGGCAGACACACAGAGGCTCTGTAGCCTTTACGGACTGGTGTGCTTGGGCCTTTGGTCATCGCAGCTACACAGCACTGCAAGCACTGAATAGTCCCGATGCAGCCGAGTGGAGTGTTTATTCCACTGAGTTATTATGGTGAGTGAAAGCCAGGACACAATGCCAATGTGATTAAATTTGTTACTGGTGAAAACAACACTAGAAATTAAAATTTATCTGATGTAGCAAAAATCCAAGAATGAAAGAAAGCTAAGCAGTAAATTAGGTGTGGGAGATAAAGTACCTCTCCCCATTTATTTCCATTCCCTTTGAAAAAGCAGATCAAAGGGACAGAGTACAGAAAGCCAGGGAGGCCATTCTGGTTTTGTAAGAGTCACTAATCTCTGCAGTACAGAGCCACTTTTAGCAACTGATGATTCATTAATTTTAGAAATACGTGTCGAGGGTTCTTGTTTAGGGCTAACAGAAGAAGCAAACACCTTTAGTTGCCTCTAGATAGCAAGATGGAAGGTTGAGAGTAAACTGGAACCTCTGTTTCAGGCTGTAACGAGAACATAGAAAGAGGTGACAAAAAGGCTGTTTTTTCTAATGTGTAATTCTCTAAGAAATTCTTTATTTTATTTCCTTACCTATTTCCCATATGAAATCAAACTACGTAAATGAAAACGCATGGCAGTTATTTACACCCTTAAAGTTCGTCAAGAGATCTTAAGATTCATTGCATCTGCATCTTGAGAACTTGAAAATGTTTGTGATTCTTTGTGGATCCATTTTGGTTAAAACAGAGAGAGTAGGTCTGAGTTCTACTACTATGGACTGACTTGCAAATTCCTAGCCCAAAATCTCATGAAATTTTTCCCTGTTCCTGTGAATGCTTGTCAAAGTCAGATACCTCTCACTTAAGTCAGCTGCTAGTTGTGCACGTCTGCTCAGAATTGCTTTTTAGTGTGTGCAGAAGGCATGATCAAGTTCTATATGCAGTTGCCAGGCTGTGCTGCAAAACACATGATATCTTTGAAGCTGAAGCTGGACTTCAAGACACTGATTTCTAGCAAGCGGAATCTACGCTCTCTGTTTCTCTTGTAGCCTCTGATTTTGTCTTTGTCTCTCTTGACATGTGCACCCATACTATTCTCTGTAAGAAAGCTATCTGCATATTCCTAAACCAGAACCATCTAGAAGGCTGAACTTTCTAAAAGCTAGAAAGTTGGACCATAAAATACTGTGCTGTTCAACACCTGAGGACATATACAAACTTTAGCGTAAAAAACAGTTCTTTGAGTTCACTGTTAGGGAAAATCTAAACGTTAGCTTTTTTCCAAGGCTAAATGAGGATTTTTTGGTAATGTTAACATTAAAAAAAATTAAAATATTGATCAGAAACAAAGCAGTTCCTTCTAAATTGTTTTGTAACGAATGCCACTGGAAAACATATATTAATTAGTACTTATTGGAGAACATTTTTTGCTGAAACATTTCCATCTGTTCTATTTGGCATAAATCTGGTAGTTCCCATTAAGTTAAGCAATGTAGAAGCTGCCACCAGAAAAAAGAACAGACAAAAAGAAGAGAAAATAGATCAGGGATATGATGCAGGTAGCAGTTAAAAAGAAGAGTAGTACAGGGAGGGAAAACAGGTACAAAAATGATGAAAATAAAGCAGAAACACTAAAGGTAGACTGCAAAGGAGGAAGTGATACTGCGGGCACGTGACAAGTAAAAAAAACCCTGAATGCAAAGGAATATATATTGTTATGTGCATTGTTAGGAGACCAGCAAGGTATGGAAACAGAAACGAGTTCCTCTCGCTACGATGCTGCAAGCCTGTCGGGGCAGCAGGGTGCTCAAGGCAAAGCCTCCAGCTGTCCGGCAGGAACCCGTGGTTTGGGCTAAATGCTGCGTCAGTGCAGCCAGCCACCAGGCTTCTGGTTCCAAGTTCGCAGCACTGGCAGAGAAACTTCAGGCCTGTGCACCCGCGCGTCTCGGCAGACCCCAGTAGTCTTTCAGGAGTGCAGGCGTACTGTTTGCTACGAAAGCGCGGGCTACAATGATGCCGGCATACTACAGTTTACTATTTGTACTGTGAGCAATGATGAAAATTGTCCACATAAATAGCCAGTTAATACACTAGCACCAGAGAAGACGTTACCTTTATTTTTTCAGTTAAACCACCAACAAACAGCATGGCGTTAGCGTCTACATCCAGAATGGTATATCCAGGTGGAGAGACGGCACTGAAGGTGGCTGGCACAATGCTGGCTTTGGGACCATCCAGAGCTCGCACCGATATGGTGCCATTTTTTCCAGTCCTAGAGATTTTAACAAAATAATTTAAGCATACAGAGTCAGTAGCTAAATCAAACTCAGGAAAAACCTATTTTAGATGGCATCTTTTAATGGAGGCATGTATTACTGATTTGATTATGTTTCATTTTGATATAAATGAAGAGAGTCTTCTGCCTGCGTAAGGTAAAGACATGATCACAGAACCAGGTTTTTTTTCTCACCTCAATGTCCTTTTTGAACAAAATTCATTACACAGACAAAGTGGAACTTTCATCGATTGAAACAAAGAAGTTGCATTTTTTAAATTATTGTGATTAATTTAGTGTTGAGTAATTGTTTCTTGATGTAACAAATGATGCAGGCAAGGTTCCAAATTAAATTTCTGAATTTCATAAAGTTTATTAGATTATGTTTGAACTGAAATGAATGATCATGTGATAAAGTATTTTAAAAATATTTATAAAGTTTGCTTCACTGTGATGCATAGATTTTGCAGTTTCTGCAGTGGAACTCTCTGGCTGCTTATCAAACAGGCACAAACCCCATTATGTTTAAGGATGTTACCTCTCTGTCCTCTATGAATCATATCAAATATTGATGGTAACAACAACAAAAGAATTTACCATTTGTTAATAGTTTCTGCAGCAGTTCGTTTTCTACTCCTTAGGCTACATTAATGTAGTAACTAGCATGGAAAGAGTTTGCTGATGGTTTTACAATAGAAGGAACAGCATACGGAGAGATATGATTCCCCTTTGTCTTTCAGGTATAGAGACAGCTATTTCAAAGGAAACTTGAATCATTTTGAATCCACTGAAATAATCTGATTAATACTACTTTTGCTTACAGTAGCACGGATAGTAGCTTTCCATGGAAAATCTACTACCTACCTAATAACAGTAAACTATTAGGCATTTGTAGTCTCACCATAAATGAGCATTTCCTCCTGGACAGATGGACCATAATCAACACAAGGAATTTCTTATGGAGCCATAACATGACTGTAGAAATAAGCATGGTGTGTGACCCAAATCCTGCCATGTGGAGATGAAGCATCTAGTATGTTCTGTAATGTGGTGGAGGAGTGGCTGGGAGATGGGGCAGGCAAGGGAGATCACGTACTGTGGATTTATGGATAACTTGGGACATTGCTGCTTTATCGCATGTTTAATAGGATGCTGGATTTCCCATGACCATTGTCACGTTAATTTGGAAATTCTTAACATGGATGGCTGATGTTGCAACCCTAAATAGCACGAAAGCACTCAGCATGGATACCAATATTACACGGAACTTTTCTAAGCTACATGCTTGATACTTAATATGGAAACACACCATTTTAAACAAAACTTGTTTTCTTTTTCTGTAACAGTTTACAAAGAGCGTATACCTACTGAGAGTGACAGCCCATGTTTTAAATTACGAGTGGTATTTCGCTGGCAACCTGATTAGACTAAAAATTGCTCAGTACCCGTTCTCAAGCTAGACAAAACAGATTTTTCTCAGAAAACAGATTTTACATCCATATTTGTGAAAAAGCTTTCTAAGGAAGGGAAGGAAGCCAATTAAACAGAGGTGATAAAATTCACCCAGAAGTTCCACATGTAGCTTTCCTAGATGAAAAGTTACATACTCATCCTATCAAGATACTGTCAAGTCACAGCCAGAAAGTAAAAAAAAAAAAGAAAGAAAAAAAAAAAAAAAAAAAAATCCCTTTGATTTTCTACAGTCCTGAACTTTGCTGCATGCAAAGTTGCAAAATTGTTTTTTGTCTAATTAGGAAAAAAAAAAAAAAGATTGGCTTGGGGTATTGAAGTAACAAGCAAACTAAAAGTTAAAAGCATATCTTTCAGCAAGAACTGTCATTACTGTTAAATACAGCTTTACTTGAAGAACTTACATTTAGAGCACAGCAAGGAAGACTGCATAATAACTTAGGCTACTGAATAAACTAAATACAGATATTGCTATCCTGTACTTACAGAATTCCTGGATTTAGAAAGTTTACTGCCCAGGGCTCTGAGGGTGGAAAAATCCTGTAAGACTATGCATTTTATGTCTAAAAAGCACTCTGCAGAAATTTCTTTGGCTCAGAACCTCAGAACCTATTATCCAAAAAAGAGAATAAGTTGAAAGTTTTCTTATGAAATAACATAGAACTGGGAAAAAAGCCACTTAAATTAAAAAAAAAGGCAAAAAAAGATTTAGTTGAGACGTTTCAGTTTTGATAAATTTCTCCTGGAAGTGAAGCAGGGTTGGAAAGTAATTTTGAGGGTTTCCAGTCAATTGGGAATACTTTTATAGATCTGTGCTGCCTTGCCTGCTTTGTAGTCAGGGATCTCAAGGCTTTCAATGTGAAAAAATACATATTTGCAAAAAACTCCCAGAGCTTTTCAATCACCCACACGTAGCTTGATCCAGCAGCTCTCGAAACCACATGGATTGGACTCTCAGTTTCCTGAGGAATCTCCTAAGTGACATCTGGGGTACGCGAGCATGTAGTTGCTCCAAATCATTTTGAAGAAGTGGGTTAAAGCCATCCACATTATTCTAAATGATTTTTTTTTTAAATTTCCTTTTAATGACAATATTTTATCTTTTATTCCAAAACCAACTGAATGCTAAGTAGATAGCTTTCTGTGCAGCAGAAATTCCAAATTTTTACTTTATTTTTTTTCAGGTTTATTGATGTGAAGGATAGAAGTTCTCAATGTAGTAATTATTGAAAGACTAACAGTTGCTAAAGACATTTTTTTAAACCGCTTAAGTTTGATGCTCTCTGAAAGAAAGTCATTGGCACTTTCAATCTATATTGTGCTGAAATGAAGATTCCAGTTTAAAAACATCCAAGTGCAATAATGCAGTCTGCACTGAGCAGACTGACACTTTTTAGGGTGTCTAATATGTCACAAATAGGGTAGATGTCTTTCATCTTCAAACAGAGTGAAATGCTAACAATGGAGTCTCTTCCATAAATAATTCTATCTTATTTAGAGGACAATTGAGCTTGAAGAAAGAACTTGGCTAACTTGACAGCAAAAAGACATTGCCATCCTGTTCATGACAAGTCTTCAGGTTAGAAGATATTGTTCTAGTGATAGTCAGTTCTGCAACGCTTGTGGATTAGAGAAGATATACCAGCGCTGTGTGGCTGATCATCTGAAAAATTTACATAATGCCGTGCATGTAGGTTTTGCCTTTAGGAGATACATGATGTAAATGAGATCACTTTTGCAAGTCATCAACATTAGGTTACAAAATACCATGGAGAAACCTCTTCTCCTTGACCCCTTCAGAGCACAGAAAATCTTCACTGGAAAGTACGGCTTATGTTTGCCACAACAGTTTAAGACTGAATTCTTGCTGAGCTGGACTGGATGTGTCTACAGTGAACTTGTGATTCAAGCATCCTTTTTCCTCAAAGGAAGGGTGCTGCTTAAACTCTGTCATTAACAATTAAAACAATGACAATACTTAAATCACACCTGATTAAAGTCACAACTAATCAGGTCTCGCTCCTAACTGAGGCCTGCTGAAGTCACGTGACATTGTTTCACTGATTTAGTGAGACTCAAAAATATTCTATCACCTATTTGACGGTTTCACAAAATCATAGAATCATAGAAAGTTTTGGGTCGGAAGGGACCCCTAGAGGTCATCTAGTCCAACCCCCCTGCAGCGAGCAGGGACACCGTTAACTAGATCAGGTTGCTCAGAGCCCCGTCCAACCTGGTCTTGAATGTTTCCAGGGATGGGGCCTCCACTACCTCTCTGGGCAACCCATTCCAGTGTTTCACCACCCTCATTGTAAAGAATTTCTTCCTTATATCCAGCCTAAACCTATCCTGTTTTAGTTTAAAACCATTACCCCTCGTCCTGTCACTGCTGTCTCTACTAAAAAGATTGTCTCCATCTTTCCTACAGGCTCCCTTTAAGTACTGAAATGCTGCAATCAGGTCTCCCCGCAGCCTTCTCTTCTCCAGGCTGAACAAGCCCAACTCTCTCAGTTGACATTGCTTGCATGTTGCAAACGTGCTTTAAATTATTTTGTCACATACTGTTATGCCATTTTCCTTTGTTAAATGATACTTTGATTGATTGCAGTTCTTGATGCCAATCAGATTTGTTTCTATAAGAGGGTAAGTAACTCTGTAAGTGACATTGGTTATATTCCTGTACCATCAAAGTATAGGGAATTCCTATAGGAATTCCTACAGGCGTAAAAAAATTCTACTTCAATTCCATAAAAAATATATTAAATATTTCCATGATAACCTCTGCATATACAATAAAATGCAAAGTATTAGTAGATTTTAAACAAAAAGGTGACGAAAATTAAAAGAGTCCCTGGAAAACAGATGCACATTGGATTTTGGCACAGACATTAACTGAACTGAACGTCTCTGATCATTAGTCAACAGCCAGCTTTTACATATTTAGATTTCATTCAGTATGCTGAGTGACCTTGAGAATTTCACAAGCTGTGTGCCACCACATCTCCTCTTTTAAGACCCTTTTGGATCCTTTATTAAGAACTGCTATCAACCTTTAAACCTACCATATCATTCTTATTGTGTGTCAATACCTGTCACCACTGAAATCAGTGGCAAAATTCAGTAAGGCCAGAATTTCATCTTATGTACGCATTCTAAGTGGATGCCCTGCTCCAGCTGCTCAGGCAGCTCTGTCAGGTTGCTGAAAAAGTCTGTGGCTGGAACTGAGCAGAAATTTAGGGAAAAAAGGTGAGGGAATGAAATGAAAAAACTGTTCAGTAGCTTATGACGGGAGTCAGAGGAGAATTAGCAAATGGACTAAAATATTCAAAGCTGAAGAATCTTCAGCAGGGTATGTGATTTAATGAAGCCTATCTCGAGAATGCAAAACAGTCCAGAGTTCTTCATCTTAATCCCACAAATCCAAATAGTGTCTCTGCAACGTAATTCTCCTAAACACTGCTCTGTACTTCAGACTTGTGCGGCTGTAATTATTCTAAATTGCTGATCCAGTGGTTTGTTCAAAACTAATGGCACGCACACCCTATATATCCAGAACAACCAACTTAATAGGCAGTGCGCTTTTGTAGGATGTGTGAATTTTTATACCATGTCCTGGCTCCATATTCTGCTGAAGCAGCTTTCTTGTAAATGAAAGTCTGGCATTACTGTGTCATGAAGCTATTTTGGTATGCATAATATGAACTGGTGAAGAATTCAACAATTTGTATTGTATCCCAGTTTGTATTTTCCGAGCAATAAGGTGTCATTAAGCCAGCTTCTGGAGATGTTCCCATAATTTTATCTAATTCTCTGCTCTGAATGGCTGATTTCTGTGATTTCACTAAATTATTTAAACTGGATGTCATTTCTTCCTCTGAGAGCCATGGATGTAACTGGAATTAGAGTGTTTTGTTTTCTTTCTCCTTCTTTCTCTCATTTTCTGACTATATTATCGCTTCTATGTTTAATACTAAGTGAAATTAACTGTAATGATGCAGGAGAAATTACTCAGCTTCATATCAAATTGCAATATAGATGATGTTATCTAAATTACTAAGATCTATTTGGAAGTGGAACACAAATGATATAAAGTTATGTAATCCTTATGCTGTAATTACTTCGCCATATGTCATGTGTTTGCTATTTGAATGGAAAATGTAAGCTTCAACTAACAAATGTGACATTTGGATATTAAGGTATCTATATTTCTAAAGCTCAGAAGCATTCAACAGCTGATCTTAAATGGCAAAGTACAGTTTAACTTTCCAGAATATTTCATCCTTGACTTTTCATAAATGGTATCTCTTTAAATATCTCCAGTTTGAAGAGACATTCTGGCTATGGAAATGACATTTTGAGTAAGACTCAAGATATTGATGTATGACAGACTATTCATTTGCAGTACAGTATCAAGACCAGAATTTCAGAAAAGCTGCCCCTCTTTGAAATTCAAGGAGCAAAGAATAGTAGTTATCTGTTTGAGTGTCAAAACCTGTAATCGATTTTAAAAAGAAGCTTATTGAAGAAGAGAATAGATAGAATGATAGGTAAACAGAAGGGAATATAAGAAGTCATAGACTGTTGGTGCTAGAGGGGAAAGATGTGATGAAAATAAATTCTTGACACAGAACAATTCACATTTCAACAGTAATTGTAGCATATACACTTTTGGTACTATTGGAATTAAGTTCAAAATCTTTTGTTAAACCACACTAGAATTTCTCATATTTATGACATAATATTTTTTTAAAAAGTCGATGTTTCGAACGTAGCAAACATTTCCATCTAAACCTGAGGTATGCCAACTTGAGGACAGTAGATTAGAAGCAGAACTTGTTAATTTTAGCCATTTTTTCTTTGGGAACCAAATCCTGGAAGTGAAATATATACTTGCCTAGAGGCTTCAATCCGGTACCAAAACCCATCATCAATGGTCAGATCTGGATACTCCACCCGTCCAACACCAGATCCCACATCCCACAGGAAGCTCACCTTGCCTTTGCGCATCTCTATGGCCAAGAAGTCAGTCTGCATGTAAAATATGAAATTAGAAGCAATCTCATACTTTAATTAAAGGAAGTTTTCCAGATTTCTTCACATTTCAGAAGGTCTAATGAGGCATCAGAAACAAATATACAGACAGAGAAGTATGAACACTAATTCTCACAGTGGTCTAAAAACAGATTTTCTTTTTCCTGCTTTCAGTGGCTTAAACTAGGAATCTTAAACCAAAGATGGAAAATTACTCCTGTCAGTGATGTGCAGTAAATGGCTCCTAGACTTACAGAAATGTTAATATTGTAGCCATCAACGGAAGGATTTAACTTGGAGTAATGTTGTTTGTAAAACATCCATTGGATGGCAGAAACATGCCAGGATTCTAGGCTAATACATGATGCCATCCAGCCTCTTCATTTTGTATTAGGTAAATAAAATATATATTACAAACTGTTAGAAATAGAATACTTTTCCCATTTACTGAATTATCATTGATTATTCTGGAAGTTTGTCTGCTATAGGGCTCATGGGAAACCGAATCATTCATCATTTCTATGCTTGGAATGGTAGTCTTAAAATTACAATAAATAAGAACTTTGACTGATGCAAGATGATTAGCTACTTTATTCCCAAGGGAAAACCCACAACCAACCCCAAAATTACCCTGGTTGCACTGTTAATTTTAAAGCTCTAATGTAGTCCATGTACAAATCTTCCATTTCATATTTAGTTGAAATAAAAAAAAATAAAAAAATTATTTTCTGGTCATATTTTAGAAGTCCCTATATTAATACTAAAGACAGCAAATGTCTAGATTATCTTAGACCCTCTACTACTGATTTGAAGCCTCTAGGAGGGGAAAAAAAGTCTTTCTCATCTTCTTTCTTTGTCAGTAGTCTGATTTGATTGAGCAACGCTGACATGAAAAGCAGGAGACAGACTTACAAACTTGGCACTTCCAAGGTAAAAAAGCAGGTTGTCAGCAACTACAGTCTTCACATTGACAATGACGGTGTTGTATGTTCCCTTCTTTATTTCTGGTCTGTATGTGCGAATACAATTGCCTCCAGAGGACACGGATACTTTGATCTTCAAAAAAAGCATAGCAGAAAGAATTCAGTTTACTGCTTATCATTCCAGAATTAACTTTAGATGCTTCCAATTAATTAAAAGCACATTACACTTTCTTTTTTCTTCCTTCCCATTTATGTATTACACGTACCAGGAAGTTGCTTAGGTATGCACAGGAGGTAGAAATGGAATTGTCTTTCTGGGATTGTTTATTAAAAGGCAGTAAAAGCTTTTTTTGGCATTCAGATTTGAATGGACGAACAATATGGACTAAAAATAGCTAGAAGATATGTTGGTCTGATGCACACAGCAGTGGAATTCTAGTAGTAGAGATAGTTTATAAGTGGAATGTGTAGCCAGGAAAATAAGCAGCACTCCTGAACGGATTACAGCACCTTGCTATCAGGTAGACAGGATGATCTGGTTTTTCCTTATAATATCTTTCATTATGTCAATTTAAGACACCTTTTAACACTTATTTTTAAAGCAACAGTTGTGTCTATCACTGCTTTTACATAGCCCCTAATGGAGTTGGTATTCGTAATTAAGTTGCATTTTCACAGCTGAATGACACAGGCATCTGGATGTATGTGCTAGTTTCCTCAGGCTCTGAGCACAGATAAAAACAATATACTCTTCACTTTCATAATGCCGGAATGCGCATAATGAGAGTACAATGGCATTTCAATTCCAGCTAGACATGTTTATGTATTGGAGTAGATGTACGTAAGGGTATCACCTTATGCTTAGGGCACACTTTGTCAAAAAGGAGATCCATTATATGACCAAACTCACAATTTCCCTATCTCAGAAATGCTGAGCAGTTAAGTACTTCAAAGCCTTCAGACAGAAGACGACTACACCAAAACCATATCATCACTGCAGCCTGTCTTTCTATTGTGGTCAAATTTCATCCAGTATATGGAATACACTTCTTTCCCAGGATCCTACTATTCTGTAGATTTTTTTTTCCAGTCATTTTCCAGGAAGTTTTCTGAAGTACCATCTTCAAGAATTTTTTTCCTTTTGCTACATTAGATCACAAGCTGAATAACCTTGGTATTAACTAGCTGATCCTCGAGTTTAGATTATTACTGAGTCAGGGAGATGGACTCCGAACTCATTAAATGGACTGGAAATACAGTCTTAACTCAAGCTTGCGTCCTCAGAACTGCTACTGGACAAAGAAAGCCAAGAATACGGGAAAAGCAAATATACTCCGCAGTTTCAGTGAGTTTGAGATGGTGTTATTCTCAAATAATTCAAGTTCTATGAAATGAAATCAGGGGCTTAGTATCAGTGCTGAGGCAAAAAACCACATTTTTGCTTTCACAAAAAATCAATGATGTTGTGACTCTTCTGCTGTACTATCATCCACAATACTTCTTAATTAATAACCTTTCCAGATACGTTGCTACATATGTTATTCATTTAACAAGGGCATGTTTAAAATGAAGAAACAAGACAGAGAATGAAAATCATCAGAATATTCTCTGATTATCTGAGAAATTATACTCCATTATTTGCTCTCTTTACACATGTCTAGAACTGGGAAGGATTCACCCTGTGGAAGAGAAATAGAAAAGTAGAAAATAAAATCCTAGCAATACTCAGAAGGTCGTCTTACTGAGTAAGAGGGCTTACCGAATTGGCTTGCTTCCGAGCTTGGTTTATCAGTTCTTTTATCTGAGAAATGTTTTTCCCTAAGTTATCCTGAAGTTCTTTGATTGGCTTGATTTTATCTAGCAGGCGATCTGCTTCCTTTTCTAGGGTTTTAATACTGGAATCTGCATCAGCAACTTCATAAGAAAGAAAAAATCAGAGTTTTAGAGAAGAGTGGCAGGGAGTAATTATACATTGCAACAATAAAATCCTAGAAAATTCTGCATACACAATGCTCAGGTGATTGTATACACTACCACAACGTATACACAGACCAGGAAGTTACCTGAACAGAATAAGATAATTTATGAATATTTAGAATCAAGTTAAAGTAGCAATAGTAGCAAAGGCAGGTGTTAAAGCAGGCTTTTGAGGCAGTGACTATGCTTCAGGTCAGGATGATACTAATGGAAAACATTTCCTGTATCAAAATACACTTACAAATGACACATTTACTTTCTTTTTTTATGAACTCCAATTTTGAAGAAAAATGCTAGATTAATTAAAACTTGTTAGTTTCCGTTAGCAATTTCTGAAACAAGGTTAGAATTAACTTGCGGTTAATTCTTTAATTAATTATAATGAACAGCTGGACGGTGGCTTTATTCTGATCACAAGTTTAAAATCCCATATGCGTACTGAAAGCAGAAAAAAAACCCAACAATGGCGGTAAACTGCAAGTGTTTTCTTTTTTTCAGGTGAATTTAGTAATTTGACCAGGATATTTTTAATCACTTTTTCTTTAAGCTTCAAATGGCTTTTTTTCTCTCAATATACAACCAGTGAACAATGCCCTCTCTGACAATTCATCAGCAGATCTAAGGATTGCAACACTTGGCTAGCATGAGGGTATGAGTTTGTGTGGATGACACCGAAAGAGAAAAACCTGCATTTACCAGAAGAATGTATACTGAATGAAAAGAATAATAGTAATGATAATAATAATGACAATGCTTAGATAAAGCATGAAACTGTGGATATCTAGTTTTTGAATAGTCACCCAGACACTAATACCAAACCTTCAAGATGATTCTTAAGGTTTCACATAAGTGAAACCAATTACCAAGTCACTTCATCTCAGAGCCTTCAAAAAGTAACTATTTAACTATTTCAATCAATGTGAAATGGAGAGCACCATGCAGAAGCTTTGGTGGTAAGCAGTGAATCACTGTTTACTGGAAAAGGCACAATAAAAGCGGCAAGAAAGAAAACGTACGTACTGATTTCTGTAGGCAAGATAGGGAGACAAAGAAAAGAGAAAAAATGGAAGATAATGTAAGAAAATGTTTTAAAGACCGAACACAAAAGTAAAGTAAATTAAGGGACAGGATTAGTCTAGAAAAAATTTATTACCTTTTATATATTGCATAGCTGCAGAATGAGAACTCAGAGCCAGAATTTTGACATACGAGAGGCTATGTCTACTTTAGCATGGAGTTGTGAGTGCCAACATACTCACTATATACATCTGGAGTGGTTTACTCTCTATTTACTTTAATCTCATTCTGTAATCTGAGTATCCATTAGCAGTTGGAGAGTGGTAAAAGTGTAATTCTGGAGAATAACTTCCAGTTAAGCTTTATCTGACATGAAAGAGTTTGGAAGTGTTAAGACCACTCCTCAAAGTGAACAAAATAATGGTGACTGAGGACAATCAAGAGATTGACTTCTAAATTATTGCTTCTAACCTCAACTAAAATGCTAACGCACACATAGTCTTAGAATACTTGCGCTGGGACAGATGGCCTGGTCTACAACCAGCAGTGCCAAGAAATTACTGCTTTTAGGCTGCTTCTCAGTTGTTCATCACTACTCTGCCAGAGGTTGTTGCCTCACAGATCTGCTTGTTCCATAACCCACCGTAATCGAAACACTCTGTTTCAATACATAACTACTTTTCATATTGTGTAAACTAGTTTGGACCCGTCTGCCTGATGGGGATTATACCTGTGGCTCACATGTGTACATCAGTTGATGAAGGGTCAGGAACTTGCAATACGCAGGCAGTGACAACCAACCATTGGGATTAACTCCTTTCACTGGCACAGCTACAATCTGAAGAGGATATTTGCCCATAGAATGAGAACGACAGCCTCCTAAACTGGATGTTTTTAGGTGCCCAGCTTCATCAAGCTGACCACAATCTGGGGAGCCCAGGTCAGTTTAGAAATTAGTCCTATGGCAGTTTTGTAAAGACTGGTTTTGTGGTCAGCCGTGGTTGTATACTCCTATATGATGTGTTCCAGTAATCTACAATAAAATGTGTTGTAATTTAGAATTCGATTCTATCCATCATAGCCAAAGTAAAACTGCTAAAGCAATTGTCACATCTGAATAACAGAATTCACTGTCAAAAGAAAAAAGCATACGAAAAACCATTCCCAGGATCTTCTTATTCTCTTTCTTCTCGCGTGTCTTCAGTATTCTACCAAAACAGTAACATATATGACAGAAGTCATGCATTTCTCCCAGAACTGATTATCTGACTGACTGAAGACAGGATTAGTGGATGGAATTTTACCTGATTCAAGGGGTGAATTTCCAGGCATAATCTTTGATCATTCACCTCCTAAATACTTTAGAAAGTACTCTGCAGAACAAATCTATCCACAATATGTTCACCCTGCTGACATTAGCTTTTTTTCCAACTACTAGCAGCAGTCTTTTAACATTTAAAATTCTTTTTATATTAAAGTCAGGAAAATAGAAGTGATAGAGATTTCTTTTATCCCAGCATACTGTAGTAATGCTATGTGAGTGAAATTCTGGAGTGTCTCTCTTTCATTTTCCAATGTGAAATGAAAACCACAACCTAAAAAACCCACCACCAAATGACCTAAAAAAGATCTTACTGTTCTTGATAGGGTCCTTCACAACAGCATTTGTTTTCGCCACATCATCTGCAAGTTTACTATAGTTGTTTCTCAAGCCCAGGAGATTCTGGTTGAGGTCTTTAATCTGGGCCAGGACGTCATTTGCAGTATCGTTGGCTTGTTTTGCTTTATCTTTGGCTGCCTGTACCTTTATAGCTGTATCTGTAGGTAGAAAAGGATAATGAAATGATTGCCTGAAGTACAGAAGTTTCCTTCACACATCTTAAGATCAAAGCTGGGTCAAAATTCTACCATCTTCAACTGTATTGTGTAGTTCTTTGAGAGCTCCTACTTCACATGTAGTAAGACATTACTAATTGTAAGCGTGGATTTCAGAATCTGGCCCTTTATGTCTTTTTTGAAATGTCAGATGCACCTGAAGAAGAGAAAATGCTCCAGCTCCATTTGCATGCAAAGGACAAATAATTTTTATTAGGTAAATATTTGTGCAATTTTGGTTTTGTTGTTGACTCACTGCTTAACCTCTGACCAACTGTCAGATATGTGTGATGCTTCTAATAGAAACAGGACTTTCAAGCTCTGACATACAGAGCACAAAAATCTAACTCCGCGTGTTTCAGTTGAAACTGCAACAAATAATCTTGTGAATCAGGAGACCAAGGGTTCATTGACTGCATTAATCACATATATCCATAGACATACCTGGTGACCTTGAGCGAAACAATTAGTCTAAGGCTGTCCCACCTCTCTGCCTGCAAAATGGAAATGAATTTTCTACCTTTGGGGCAAAAACATTCTTTTTTTAGTTCTGCTATTGATAAATGGTAAAACAGTCAGCTAGGTATTCAAGTAGGTGTTTATTCAAATTCTGTGTTAGTAAATCAGATTGCTTTAAGGCTTATCCGGCAGCTGTTGAGCAGCTCATGGGCTGTTGCTATGCTGGGATTACACCGCATGGTGAGCCAGCATCACCGGTTGTACTGTGTTAGGGAGCTACCAAATTTTCTGAATTCCCACAGATGGCAGGAAGTGAGCAAGCAGAAAATGTTGTGGTGGACACTCCAGCTTGCAAGGGAACCCATATGAACTCCCACTCTACCACCACACCGCAGTGGAGTCTTGGGACCCGCAGGAACCTGCTTTGCCATCTGCTTCCTGTGAAACTGTTCTTAGGGTTGCTTTCCCCTTGTGTTCCCCAAGGTATCCTCATGTCCCTCAATCATCAGAGAATTTAGGAGTGCAGCTCCGAAGTCTGGACACCTCTGAAAGAGCCATGCAGAGATAGTGCCACTTCTCATACTGACTGGGCTTCCTGTGGTAGTCCGTGAAGTTAACAGACTGCATTCCAGTAGTGGGGAAGGCACACGAGGTTGTAATTTCTTTCTGATTCTGACCAAGAGATAGCTGATAAGAATTAGTTTATACCAACATTTGCTTGAAGCAGATTGCATGTTCCTGATTCTCTGACTGCGTGAAGACATGGGAAACATGGACATTTTCTCCATTTGAAGGGATCAACAGTCTAGGTTTCCAAGTGGTCTCCTAGCTAGGTGCTTCTCCTTCTGTGGAACATCTGATGTGATCAAGCCTGTGACCTGGTGAAGCATGTGTTGCTTCCTAAAGCCATAGAGAATTGGTGGGTTTGTCCTGCACGCTGTAGAGTTACATGACGCTTTTTACTTTCTTGAGTAAAGATATATTATACCTGTGCTCCAAACAAATTCACCCTTATTTCTGAAGTTTGGGCTCTGGAAAGCCCACAAAATACAATAGCACCTTGAAAATAGAACTGAATCTTTAATAAACCATTTTCATCATCAGTACTGACAGGTGAAAGAACAGAGAGCTCCGATTGCCTTTTCTCACTTCCTTTTTTCATCATATCTCAGTATCTCTTTTTGAGGCCACTATTAGAGGTCATGCACCTTTCTGGCAGAGTGAAAGTTGGAGTTACTGTGTTACTTCCCTCTGTTGGTCACACAAATTATATTTATTTTCAGCCACACTTTAAATTATGACTATTCTGCACATGTGGGTCCTTGTCCTAAGGTGACTACCCATCTATCCCATTTTGCATCTTTCTGCTTTTATTTGGCTATTAGTGTAGCATGGACACAACAATTATTAGTTTAAGCTGCTCTCTGCTTTCTTGAATCCTTGAAGAAGAAGATATATGACAGGGTCATTTCCACCCCCATCCTCATTGGTTATTTCCCTGTTGGACAACTAATTTACTGCATTTTCTTATCCACGCCATTTGCTTGCTCTGAGTTTCATTCTTAATACACACCCACTTGTTTATATGAGTGTCCTTGTCCCAAGCGCAAGCACCCTGTAACTCTAATCTGACAAGAGTCCATTACACTGCTAATGGTTGCATATTTCATATTTCTTTTACTTGTTCTATATTTAGTATTCTGTGTCCTAAGGTCAACTGGCCTTAGAGGTCCATTTTGTTTGACTGAGACATCCATCTGTGCACAAGGAGAGAAACAGTCATGTCAACACTTGTGGCCAAAACCCGGCAAGTGGCATAAGATGAGTATGACATATTGAAACAAATTTTTGTGAATGCCTGATTTCAAGGATCTCTAAATCTAAACCAACACTTTTCAGTTATCTGTAATCTTAAAGCCACAAAAATGTGCAAGATGAATAGTAAATTGTTTTTCATGCCCAGTTTTTACTTGCAGTCTGAACCTTCCAGACCATCACAAATCAGACAGAATATAGATTTTCTTTAGAGACTTTTCTTAAAGCACATCTTCAGTTTATAAAGTGCTCCTTGGAAAAAACAGCTGTAGCAAATTACATTGATAAAAAACTTTTTCTTCTCCAAAACAAACATTCACTGTCCATTATAATGAAACTACGTTGAAGGTCCCTGTCTCTCGCTATCACAACACAAAGTAGCTGACATCCCAGGACTGTGGGATTTTAATGCGTGTTACATTTTTTTTTCCTAAATCTCTTTTGGCTATACAGAATTACGACTGTGCATAGCACTTCAGAGTTCACTGAGGAAAGCCTATTCCAGTTCTAAGCAATTTACAGTCTGAAAAAGATGTACAACAACAAACTGACTGGAAGTGATACTGTAGCATAAAGCAATGAGAGTGTGGTAGAAAGGTATGACAAGACCCAGCAAATTTCCTCCTGCTTTTTCTGTAAAGTCAGTAAGTCTTTATTCTCCTTGTGTTAAATTATACTGGTTAAATTATAATGGTTCATTAAACAGTAGCTTCATAAAAAGACTTTTCACATTTAAAGACTATTTGTCTCAGATTGAATCGTAGTTCCTGATGTGGTAATTCTTTTCTTTCTGAAACCTTTTGCAAACTGCAGACGTATGGTACCTTTTACCATGCCAAAATACAAACTGATACCGTGTATCTGTTTTCAGTTCAGTTCTCTCTCTCACATTGCTCACCTTCTCTTATTACAGCTGCCAATGGTCAAAGGAGATGTAGTGTGGACACAGGCAAAAATTAATCAGACAGATGTTAAGTGATGGAAAATGAAACAAAAGAGCAGGGATGAGTCAAGTGTTGCAGCACTTTTCCAGCTTACCGTTAGGAATGGCTGACAGCTTTCCTAAGGTTTCATTCAGAGCTCTCAGGAGAATGGAATTCTTCTCATCTGCATCTTTCAGCCTGTTCTGCATGCTGTCCAGGTTGTTCCCCTTTTCTATAAAAAGTACACATAGTACAGAAGCTTTCACTCTTTGTTTCCACTATCTTTTCTTTGCACATAATTTAAAATGCATAATAATAAGCAAGCCATTTATCATGAATTTATTATCTTGTGTATATAAGGGAGTCCAGTAAAACTGGTTGTAGGGTTCACTGATAATCTTCTTCTGTTTCTTTAAGTTCCCTACTTCCATGGTATCTAAATGCTTGAGTTCCTTGAACTGTTGTATACTTATCAAGGGATTTCCTGTGGTGTACAGAGGAAAGAAAAAAATGACAATCACAGATGGTAAGATTTATGCAAATTCACACAATGTCCCACTGACAGATTAAACAAGTGTGATGTTTAGTCATAGCTTTGATTCTTAGATTAAGCTACTACTGAAATTTTTTTCTTAGGAAGGCTGTCTGGGATGAATTGAGTCGAACATAGTGTGAAAGAGGTAAGATCGATTAGGTCAGCTTCCTGTTTCAATTAGACTGGCCAGACACCAGTTCTCTTGGATCTTCTCAAAGACAGCCAATGTTGACAGAACATCTGAGGAAAGCACATGAGGTCACCCTAGCGCTGATCATCAATACGAAGAGAATACATTAACAACAGGTTATTATGAAATAAACACACTAATTATTCTATTTTTTTGGGGGGGAAAAAGCCCATCTAGTAAATAAAATTCATAGCTAAGAATTTGTTCAAATCGAAGAACTAGTACAAATCAAAGGCACAGGTGTGTCACATTCAGTACATTGCAGACAAAACTGATGTTACCCTTTACACAAAAGTTCTTATTCTTCAGCAGCTGCTTTGAATAAAAATTATGGAGTTTTTTTTGAACCATATCCAGCATAGCAATAATTTTTCAAACTCTCAAAAGTGAGATTCCAGATAAGGTTATTCCAGATAAGCTTTACAGCTATTTAAACAAACATTATTTCAAAATTTAAAAGTAAAGTTTGGCACAGAAAATGGTACTTAATGCTTAAACTACTATTATAGGGGATATTTTTCATCATTTCTTCGTATCAATATGGAGCTATTTAGAACAGACAGCTGGTAATTTTTTACCTTAAAGGCATGCCCTAGTGGGAAACTAGTTCAACATCTGTGCTTGATAGCAGGAAGATGAGAATAATTTGTAGAAAAGGAGCTCAGGACACAAAGTATGACTGTGACCTTTAGATATGTGACAGGTTATTGAAAATAAACACCTAGTTTTTGGATATTTATCCCAGTAGATACTGGTGATAGGTAAAACATACTGGAGATGAGGTTTCTCAGTGAATTATAGTCACATACTTGTCAAAACCAAAAAGCATTTCTTTTTATTAAGGGACAATAATTAGATGTATCATTGGTACTCCATCGTCTGGAACAGCATAAGGGCTGTAACCCTTTTACGAGAGAATAAACAGAATAATAGATTAAAACAAGGGATTGTGGTTCACATTTGACAAACTCTAAAAAAATAAGGTTTCTTAAAACTAGATGTGCAAGAACCAATTTGTACAGAGAAAAATAAAATAAAATGTGTATTACCTACAAGAAATCATTAACTAATTTTCCCAAGACTACAGCAAGGCTGAAATAGTGAATGGAATTTAAATGAGAATCATACTTTTGTTGTTAGACCCTTTGAAATGTCATTCAGGAAGAAATCCATTTGCTTTATTTAAATTAGAGCAACACACAGGACTGCAAGAGTGCCCGGAGGTAAGCCTTTATGTCTGAAAAATGTCCTGCAGAGGAACAGGAAATTTGTGTGAACTGTAAGAGGCACAGGTAACACTAGAGTAAAGTTGGGAAGAATCATATAAATCATAAGATCACTCTTCTCCTCAAAAACACCCTTGTTTTTAAATGACAGCTTTTGTCTCCACTGCTGAATGAGGCTACTGGTAAAGTGATTTTGTTAAACCAGAATAAACTCATGAGATTCTGGTCTTAAATGTTCTGAGACTTTATCTGAGTTCATTACTTGTTAAGTAATAATACTGACAAAACTGTTTTAATTTCCTCCATTTAATTCTGAAGATATTTCCTTGGTGTCTCTGGTGCCTTTTGGGATGTTAGTGTTTATAAAGTGTGTTAATATTTCTGAGATATTTGATTCATTTCCAGTGGTGGTGTACGACGTTTGTTGCATGCTCTTAAATTATCTCTTTTCTCCTCTTTACTCTGCCAGATCCAATATTATGCTAATTATCCCCGGTTATTTTTCTGAAGAATCATGTTTCCAGACTTCTGTTTTCAGCTTTGTAACCATAGCAGCAAACCCATTTTTATGGGTTTTAATAAGGGAAGTTTCCCTGGAACTTCTGAAATTGAATACTGAGACTCCACCTGTTTAATATTTTTTTCTTGTTTTTCTTTTCTTTCCTCAAATACATTTTAACTGTGTTTTTAAAACATTACAATAATAAAACCATAAATAAGTTCCTCAAGGGAGGCTCTTACACAAAGACATGTGAGGAGATGCCAAGATGCTAAGGCCCATGTCAGCTTTTCAAGGAAATTGTTCATTTTGCACAGTGGTATTAACATGAAGTTATAGTTTGCAGTAAATTCCCATACTGTAATCCAGATGGGTTCTTCACTAAGCACTAAGGTAAATTTGTGCATGAATCACGAGCTGAACTGACTTCATGTCAGCTTTTCCCCATCCTTTAATTATTGGCAGTTATGAAAAATGATGGAGCTATGATTTGAAGGCCTGAGATCCTCCAGTTAATCATAGAGGCTAGACAAAATATCCTCAGATACAACCTAAGTTTTTCCAAACTCTATAGCTTATCTGACTTGGAAGAGGTTAGTGGGTCTGCACTGAAAGACAGCAGGCACTGTCAATTCACACTGAAGTGTAGATTGAGGAGTATCCTGAGAAATTTCTGTCAATCCCGCTTCCACTTGGTTAGCTCTGCACGGAGATGGCACAGGCTGACAATCAATGCACTGTTTATTGTTCAAATCAACAAAACTATTCATGCATCACAGAAACTAAGCCCTAAAGAGTAAGCAGAATCCTGAACGACTTTGCAGGTATGAGCCTTTAGGTTTTCTGGCTTTGTTAACATGAACAAAGATTTTCAATTTCTGTTTATATTTCCACGGTTAAACACAGCGTTACAGAAGAAAGCATCATCCCTTTTTCCTCTAAGTGAATAAACTGAAACAAGTCAAATGAAACTAAAAAAAAAACCTCAAACCTCTACACTCGTATGCTTCATTAAGAATGCACTTCAGAACTTAGTTGGAAAGTCCCTTCCAGCTCAAACCATTCTATGATTGTACGACCTGTTTTCACAAGACACAAGTATTTACAAGTGTCTGCGGATCACATACATAGGTGGCACTAGTTAATTATTGATGATGTGCCACCATTGCAATGCTAGTGGAAACAGATGTCTTCTGATAGTACGAACAAATGCAGTTTTCCATGTGAAACTGTCCAAGATATCACAGGGCTATGCTACCCAATGCATATCCCCCAAAACCAGAACAGAGGAATATATGCAGATGTTTTTATTGATTGGATACTGCACAAATGAACTGGCAGTTACACACATCCCTTTCTGTTATCCTTGTTTTGCTCCTTCCAAATAGCATTCTTGCTCTTCACAGTCTCACCCTATAAAGAGGACGATGGGTCACAAGCTAATTTTTTTTCCCCTAAAACAAGAGAGACTTAGAAATTGGCATTAGAAACAAACAGGGGAAGGAGATATAACTAGAGAAATGCAGCTAATGATGGTTAACTTTTTAAAAAGATTACTTTCAGCACTGACTGCAGGTTTTTAATGAATATTCTGTTGGTCATCAAACTAATTCAATAATTTGCTGAATACAATATGCCAGGTCATACAAAAAAACAAAGCAGAGGACAAGACACAAATGAGGGATTTAGCTGTGCCTATCTTCTAGAAAATGTTTTAGCTAAAAATATTCACATGTTGTGAGACTAGACGAGTCCCCCTCGACTTGTCAATTCTTAAGCAAAAGAAATGACATGAGTTGATTTTCAGTAGCCATCTGACACCAGTCTCCAGCTGAAGAGAAGTTTATACATCTTATTTTTGCTTTTCACTGATCAGTTTTGATAAAGTATGTATATAGTCTCAAATCTGCGCTGGGGCAAGTATATTTTTAAAACAGCAAATTCAAAATTATAAGGAAGAAAAATTGCTCCTGGCAAACTGAAAATCCCTCAAGGCACAGAGAGAATGAAGCTGGCAGGCAGCAGCATTCACTCATTTGTAGCCAAAATTTCAAAACTCCTTCTTAGCCAGAGCACTACATACAGATTTTGCTTCTCCCAGCAGGGTTATTCCTTCTAACTCCCAGCCCCACAGAAAGAGCAATGACTAAATCTCCATCTTAATAGCTTTTGTCAGAAGCTTTGCTTTGTAAGGACTGTTTCAGCAGTTTTTGGTGGTAATATAAAACATTTCTGTGATTAACAGCCATTTTATAACTAGGGTAATTGGCCACAAATCAGGGCAATGTCATACTGTAGCAAGAAAACCCTCCCACCTCCATCACAGCCCAGCCTGGATTTCTGGAACATATATTAGTTGAGTGGCTTACGGGTCTTCATTACTTTAACTAATTTACCACCTGTAGTGCAGACAGACAAATTTTAAACTAATAATTACTTCCGTCTACCAGATTTTTATAGAGTGCCCATCATCCACCCAGCACTTCCAGTCCAGACTCTGAACAGGGTGGCTTTGTAAAATTGTAAGAAAATATTGTTCTATTGGTTTTACACTCAATTCTCACCTGCTATCCTGGAAACACCGAGACATCGAGAAGGGTTTATGCTCATTATACTAATATCATCAGCCCTCTGGAGCAAAAGAGGGGTGGGGGAAAAAAAGAAATCTGCAATTGTGTTTTATCCTTATGCATCTGCATTCTGGGCACAACGTTAACTGATCTCTGTGGGTCATGCCGTGGAGCACGGCCTTGTTTTATCAGATGCAAAAAGGCATACTGTGAAAAGTTCAGAATGTTTGTCTGTATGAAGCACTTTAAATCTAAGACATATCAGAGAGCATTAAGGAAGCTCCATCTCATTACCCTTCATCATGGGGCAAGAACATGCACAAAGATCTAATACGTGCATTTTAAGCACTGCTCCCTGCTTGCATTAGGATTGCTTTATGAATCTTTAGACCATTTAGACCTTCGTTTCTGAATTATGAAACGATTATCAACTTCAATTCTCACTGGTGTAAAATCGGAGAATAACATACTTTTTTTAAAAATCTCTGAAGTAATCTCTAATCGAGGTTGTAATACATCTTTTCTCAGGGTTAAACTGGACAGTCTTGTGGCCACACGGAATTGACATCTATCCAAGTACAGACACTGTTTTATTTTGTCCTTGAAGACAGAGCACTGTGCTATGTGGAACACATGATTACTCCGATATAACTGCCTGGGGAGCACACAAAGTGATGGACTCCGCTCTGTGGCACCTAGTCTGCTCAGAGCAACGCTGCGGCTGGGGAGCGGGAGCCGCGGCGCGTTTCGTGTTCATC